ATCTCGGCTCACTGCAACCTCTGCCTCCCGGGTTCACGCCATTCTCCTGCCTCAGCCTCCTGAGTAGCTGGGACTACAGGCGCCCACCACCACGCCCGGCTAATTTTTTTATTTGTTTAGTAGAGACAGGGTTTCACCGTGTTAGCCAGGATGGTCTTGATCTCCTGACCTTGTGATCCATCCACCTCAGCCTCCCAAAGTGCTGGGATTACAGGCGTGAGCCACCGCGCCCGGCCTAATGTTTTTATTTTTACAGAGATGAGGCCTTGCTATGTTGGCCCAGGCTGGGGAGATCCCGACTTCCAGTGATCTGCCCGCCTCGGCCTCCCAAAGTGTTGGGATTACAGGCATGAGCCACTGCGCCTGGCCGCCCTATGTTTAATTAAGTTTGGGAAGTGCTGCCTGTTTCTGCAATACTGATTGGAGTGCTTATTACATCAAGGTGCTGAGCACAGAGACAGCTCTTTAAAATGTATCACACTTAATCGTCACCACAGCCCTGCTAAGTCATGGGTCACATCCCTCTTTTACAGATGGAAACACCAAGGCAGTCCAAAGGAAAGTGCTTATCCAGAGCCAGAGTCTGACAATGGTAGGCTTCATGAAAGACTCAGTTTTCCTCCACCCTCACTGTCCAGAACTCTGCCTGCAAAGGGCAGGACACAGCTGAATCATGGGGGCTGGGAGCACTTCTAAAACTTTGGGGTAAGGGAGCTGGGAAAAGGGAGGCGCTGTTCCAGGCATCCACCTGGTGCCCTGGCTAGAGAGGTCTGGTGGAGGGTCATGGGGTGGGGGCAGGAGACAGAAGTGGAGAGACAGAGACAGAGGGGAGGCAGTAAGCAGGATGGAAAGAGAAAGGATAATGAAAAGAGACATGGAGAAAAAAAGTCAAAGAAAGGATGAACACGGAGAGGCAAAAAAAACAATGTGAGGCCGGGAGCAGTGGCTTGCACCTATAATCCCACCACTTTGGGAGGCCAAGGCAAGAGGATCGCTTGACCCCAGGAGTTCAAGACCAGTCTAGGCAACATAACGAGACTCCGTCTCTACAAAATTAAAAAGAAAAAAATTTCAACAGGCATGGTGCCATGCACCTGTAGTCCCAGCTACTCAGGAGGCTGAAGTGGGAGGATTGCTTGAGCCAGGGAGGCCAAAGCTGCAGTGAGCTGTGATTGTGCCACTGCACTGCAGCCTGGGCAACAGAGTAAGACCCTGTTTCAAAAAAAAAAGAGAACAGAAAAGAAGAAAGGAAGGAAGGAAAAGAAAGAAAAAGAGAGAAAGAAAAAAGAAAGAGAGGGAAAGAAAGAAAGAAGAAAGAAAGGAAAGAAAGAAAGAAAGAAAGAAAGAAAGAAAGAAAGAAAGAAAGAGAGAGAGAGAAAGGAAGGGAAAGCAAGCCAGCCAGCCAGGCGCAGTGGCTCACGCCTGTAATCCCAGCACTTTGGGAGGCCGAGGGGGGCGGATGACCTGAGGTCAGGAGTTCGAGACCAGCCTGACCAACATAGAGAAACCCTGTCTCTACTAAAAATACAAAATTAGCTGTGTGTGGTGGCACATGCCTGTAATCCCGGCTGCTTGGGAGGCTAGGGCAGGAGAATCGCTTGAACCAGGGAGGCGGAGGCTGCGGTGAGCCAAGATTGCACCATTGTACTCCAGCCTGGGCAACAAGAGCAAAACTCCGTCAAAAAAAGAAAGGAAGGAAGGAAGGGAGGGAGGGAGAGAGGGAGGGAGGAAGAGAAAGGAAAAAAGGAAGAAAGGGAAAGGGGCGGGGGGAGAGTAGGGGAGAGGAGAGAGAATGTGAAATCTAGACAGAAAGAAAAAGAAGACAGAGAGGAGGGGAACAAGAAGGGGAGAGACTGGGAGAAGCAGACAAATGCAAGACATGAAATGGCTGGGCGCGGTGGCTCATTCCTATAATCTCAGCACTGTGGGAGGCCAAGGCATGCGGATCACCTGAGGTCAGGATATCGTGACCAGCCTGACCTTCCTCATCTCTACTAAAAATATAAAAATTAGCCAGGCGTGGTGGCTGGCACCTGTAATACCAGCTACTCAGGAGGCTGAGGCAGGAGAATCGCTTGAACCCAAAAGGCAGAGGTTGCAGTGAGCCAAGATTGCACCACTGCACTCCAGCATGGCTGACAGAGCGAGACTCCTTCTCAAAAAAATAAAAACAAATAGGTCAGGCTTGGTGGCTCAGCACTTTGGAAGGCCAAGGTGGGCAGATTATTTGAGGTTAGGAGTTCGAGACCAACCTGACCAACATGGCGAAACCCCATCTTTATTAAAAATACAAAAAAAGGCCGGGCGCAGTGGCTCATGTCTGTAATCCCAGCACTTTGGGAGGCCGAGGCAGGTGGATCACGAGGTCAGGAGATCGAGACCATCCTGGCTAACATGGTGAAACCCCATCTGTACTGAAAATACAAACAAAATTAGCCGGCCATGGTGGCGGGCAACTGTAGTCTCAGCTACTCAGGAGACTGAGGCAGGAGAATGGCATGAACCCAGGAGGCAGAGCTTGCAGTGAGCCGAGATCGCACCGCTGCATTCCAGCCTGGGTGACAGAGTGAGAGTCCGTCTCAAAACAAACAAACAAACAAAAAACTAGCCAGGTGTAGTGGTGCACACCTGTAGTCCCAGTTACTCGGGAGGCTGAGGCAGGAGAATCACTTGAACTCGGGAGGCGGAGGTTGCAGTGAATCGAGACCATGCCACTGCACTGTAGCCTGGGTGACAGAGGGAGATTCCATCTCAAAAAAAAAAAAAAAACAATAATAATAATAATTAATGAGCATAATAAATAAATAAAAGACAGGAAATGACGGTGAGAGCCTGTGTGAGGGACTAGCTAATGGCGAGTGCTAACAAGGAGGTGATTGTGACCTGCTATGGACCTGGAATTTGGGGGTGATGGAAATGTTCTGTATCTTCACTGTGGTGGTGGTTATATGAGAGTTGACGAAATTTGAAAACACCAGAAAGGGTGAACTTTACTGTACTGTATGTAAATGACACTTCATCCAGCGGAGGTGGTTCACAACTGCAATCCCAGCCCTTGTGGGAAGCTGGGGCAGGAGAACTGCTTGAGCCCAGAAGTTCCAGACCAGCCTGGGCAACATAGGGAGACTCTCTCTAAAAAAAAACAATCAGTCCCAATGATGGCATTCCCCGCCTCAGGGAATGCCAGCGCCCACTTCTTCTGCCACCCCTCCCCCATGGGTCCCGTTAACGGATACAGGGAGGAAGGCATTTCCTGCCTAGATGTCTCCGCCCCCACTGCCATGGAGACCAGCTTGGAAGCTTAGGGGAGCTGCTGTGGCCCAGGGCTCAGTGGGGAGGAATAGGAGGCCAGGAGTCTTGGACTAGCTGCAGGGTTTGAACTAGGCTGAAGCAGCAGAACCACAGAGGTGGCTGAGCAGGGGTCTGGCCCTGGGGCCACCCAGCCACACTCACACACCCACTTCTCCCTCCAGAGCCCCGCCCTGAAGCAGGTCTCTGCTCCAGGCCTTTCCTTAGTTGGGGAATCGAGAGTTGGGGGATCAAAGTCCCCCACATCTCCCTCCCCCGCTGCAGCTATGTTTATCAAGGTGATGTTTGGGGGTAAGTGGGGTCCCCTGTCTTGGCAGGCGGGTGGGGGGATGAGCACACTCAGAAGCTGCTTCCATCCGCCCTTGGGGAGGGTGGGGAGGTAATGGCGGGAAAGATGGGAGTGGTGCAGATGGCAGGGGTCGGGGAAGCGGCTCTGTGAGGAGGCAAAGCGAGCACCTGGAGCAAGTCCCTTAAAGGGAAAACCCGAGCTGAGTCCTGCTCATTCACGAGGACTCCTCTCGGACCGCATCACCCTGGAGCAGGTTTTTAAACCGCACAATCTCTTCGCCATTCAATCCGTGATCCTCAAGCTTCAGCGTGCATCAGACACCTGAAACTCTAGCCACAGTTGCAGGTTCCCCGTCCCTCCGGCTGGAGGCGGGTCGGCCCTGTGCGGTGGTGGAGGGGAAGAGGGGAGTTGGTAGGGGAGGCAGTGCGGGGACGGGCTGGGTCCCGTGGGGGCGGGGCCCGGGAGGAGGCTGGGCTGGCGCGCACTTCATGCTTTGCAGGACTCAAGAGACTAACGCTTGGGGGTCACCCTATATGGGAGAAAAGTCAACACACACGGGAGATGGATGGAGGGGTCTCCAAGGAAGTTTAAGCAACAGATGTCGGAGCTGTTTTGCCTGGGGCACAGTCCTAGCCCCCTAGGCCCAGTCGCAGCTCTGGGAAAGGGAAAGATGGGAAGGAGAGACAGAGGACCCCAGATGTGGAGGAAGGTAAGAGATCCCACATGCTCACCTTTGCCCTTCCTCCACAGCCGGCTGCTCCGTGCTGGTGAACACCTCTTGCAGGCTGGTGAACCTCACCGCCCACCTGAGGCAGAAAGCAGGGTTGCCCCCAGATGGTGAGGAGACAGGGAGGAGAAGGAGGGGCTGAGGGGTCCCAGGCAGGGGTGCCAGCCCTGCCCAGCCTCTCTCCATGTCCTCCCAGCGACCATTGCTCTCCTGGCTGAGGACGGCAACCTAGTGAGCCTGGAGGAGGACCTAAAGGAAGGGGCTGCATGGACCCACACCATGGGCAACTCCCTGCTGAAGGAGCGAGCCATATATGTCCTCGTTCGAACCATCAGTAAGGTGGCCCAAGCTTCTCTCCCCTGCAGCTATGTTAGAATGTAAGAGGCGGGCGTAGCAGACCATAGACCACCCAAGGCCCTGTCCAGCCTCCCACCTCAGCTGGGGACCTAGCCCCATTCCATCCCTACCCCATGCTCTGCCCCCAGCCTGGACTAGCAAACAGTTCCAGAGTGAGAGGCAGAGTAGGGACCATCAGGCCAGTCAGGTGTCCTTCATCCTCTCTCCACATGCCACAGAGGGAGAGGACATGGTCCCCACCCGCTATGAGTCCCTACTGGAGAACCTGGATGACCATTACCCAGAGCTGGCAGGTGAGTGTCAGGGTACAGCCCAGGGGGAGGGCACACCTTCTCCCTAGCCCCTACCAGCAGGACTTCCCGGGCCTTCCAGAGGAACTGCGCAGGCTGTCAGGCCTCTCCTCTGCGGGCCACAACTGGAGGAAGCGCATGGGCACCCGGCGTGGCCGCCGTGAGCAAAGCCCCACTTCAAGGCCCAGAAAGGTGAGCTCCCTGTCACCCAGGAGTTGCTAGCTGGGACTGGGAGCCAGGTACGGAGGAGATATGGACACCCAAGGAGACACCCAGAGTGGGACCCCTTCCTGTGGGAGGGACACATACGATGAGAGGCAGACCCTCAACAGCAACTCCACGCACCTATACCCCCAGACGGAACACACTGTACCCTGAGACGGGTCCCCACCACCCCACTGGAATGCCAGCTCACTAAGGGCTGGAATGTCCTCAGGCTTCACAGATGTGGCATAGGGGCTGGCACACAGTAGCAGCTCAGTGCACAACTGCTGGAGGAACTCAACGAAGGCGGCAGCATGGTGTGTGATGGCACGGCCCACACTGGGTTCGAAGGGCTTGTTCTTCCATTCTGGCAGGCCCGGGGACCTGGCACACTACTGCCAACTAGCCAAGTTGGACTCAGACCCAAGGGGGTTAGCCATGACCTCTGCCTTGTGTGATCAGGTGCAAACAGACAGCAACCCAGCACGACTCCTCTTGCAGAATCTGGAATTGCTGAGAAGTTGCATCAGCAAGAGGGGCAAGGTCAGACAGGATTTAAGGCTGCTGGGGGCACCTAAGCTGTGGGTGCAGAGAATGGGATGCGGAGGCAGAGACAAGAAGGGTAGAGGTGGCAGGTATCCCTGAGAAGGGGGAGAACCATGAGTTCATCCTGGCATTCCACCCTCAGAGTCAGATGCCCTTGGGATCACCTACTAATGCCTCTCCACCACACTCTAGACTGCCCAAGGTATCTGTCCTGTGCTAACCACAGTGCAGATTGCAACAGGGCTCCTCCTCCCCACCCAGGGCCCTGATTAAGGTGATGGATTGCACACTGTAGTGAGACATCCATCCTGACCCCACCTCATCAGCCAGGGAGCTCCCTGAAGACAGGCCATCGAGAGAGGCACACAACAGGCTGTGGTCTAAAATAAACTTTTAATTGCACATTTGTGTCTTAGGTTATCTGTGGGGTGAGAAACCTCCTCACTTCCAATCCCAGCTATCCGGGTACAATCTGGTGTTGTGGTCTGGCTGTCGGCGAGGGGTAGAGGTGGGTGCAGGACTGGCCCCCAAGTTTGCACCAACCTCTTCAGGGCAGTGAGCTCAGACCTGTGAAGGGAGGAGCAGCACAGGCTGGTGGTCAGCCTGCAGGTGCAAGAGGAGGGTCGGCCTCTCCCCATCCCCGCCTGGGTCGGGGTCCACCCACTCACCATGGTTGTACTTGCACTGCTTCAGGGCCTCGCTGAAGCCCTCACACAGGGACAGGTCACTCTGAGTGGTCGAACAGTCCAGGAACTGCCTGATCTCATAGGCGCAGGGCCCCATCTGCAGGTGCTGGGGGGCAGTGGGGGTGGGAGCCTGGGGGTACAATGCAAGAGGCTGCAGGATCAGCTTGGAGTTGGTACCTGGAGGTACGTTTCAAAGCTGGGGCCACCTGCCCCTCCCCACATCCCCAGCCTGGGTGCCCCAAGGGTCCTAGGCAGACTGAGTGACCCAGCAGTGGAGGCGGCTACAGACAGCGTGTTTCTGCTGCCTTCTTTTTCTTTTCTTTTTTTTTTTTTTTTTTTTTTTGAGATGGAGTCTTACTCTGTCACCTAGAGCGGAGTGCAGTGGCATAGTCTCAGCTCACTGCAACCTCCGCCTCCTGGGTTCAAGCGGTTGTCCTGCCTCAGCCTCCCAAGTAGCTGGGACTACAGGTGCCTGCCACCATGCCCAACAAATGTTTGTATTTTTAGTAGAGACGGGGTTTCACTATGTTGGCCAGGCTGGTCTTGAACTCCTGACCTCATGATCCACCTGCCTTGGCCTCCCAAAGTGCTGGGATTACAGGCGTGAGCCACTGCGCCTGGCCTCTGCTGCCTTCTAATGGGCACTTTGGGCGGGTGCAGGGGAGGGAGGAGAAGGTTCTAGAAGAGCCCAGTACTCTGCCTGGACTCTCAGAGTATGAGCCCCACCCCCACAAGTTTTAGCACCTTCCTGGCTCAGCTACACTAATCCTCATGACCCCTGACCTAGCCACAAAGCCACATTTGGCTTAGGGCTAGTGGGGTCCCCAGCAGGGGAAAGGTCATCAGGGAAGTGGCTCCCCTTCACCCTTGGGCCCAGCGGCCACAATGTGCAGACCTGGGTTCGGGGAGAACAGGGGCTCAGGAAATCCACCATCCCTCCACTCTGCTAGGGTGAGCTGACCTTGGACAAGTCTCTGAGCCCTCAGGGCCTGGGTTTCCCATCTTTAAAGGGTTGGTTGGTGTCTCTCCCTGGGAGCTTAGGGACCCTGGCCTCAAGGGAGGGGCTGGGAAGCCTGCCTCTAAGTGACAGTGAACTCAAGACCAGTGGACTAGGACCCTTCCTGGGCAAAGAATCCTGGGCTGAAGCAATGGTGAGTACACGCGGACACTCCTCACTGGACACTTGGGCAGCTCCCTGTGTGGCCTTGAGAGAATCCTGCCTCAGTTTCTCTTGGACCCCCTGCTCACCTGCTGGGCAGCAGGCTGGGAGGGCTCCGAGCTCCCCCCGCTGAAGGCTCCGGTCAGGGCGCTGCCCATGACGTGTCCCACAGCGGAGCCCACGGCTACCCCTGCGGCCGTGGTCGCCATCTGAGCCATGAGCCCCGGCTGGCCCGAAGGGGCGGGTGCTGGGGCGGCTGCTGAGGGCGGTGGGTGCGCGGGCGGGTGGGCAGAGGGCGCGGCGGGGCGGCTGCGGAGGTGGGAGGAAGCAGGGTTAATCCTGGCCAGACCCCAGGCCGGGGGTGCTGCAGCTCCTGGAAACGACCCCCATAGAGGTGGACGACCCCTGTCTCCACACGTGGGTGCTGCACCCCCGCCCCTCCCCCCGCCAAGATGGCGCAGCAGCAGCCAAGGTCACTCTGCGGACGCCCTTGGGGGAGTACCTACGCTTCCCTAACCCCCTCCCCACAGGCCCCTTGTCCCCCTCACACCTGGCTGGCCGGGAGGCCATGCTGCGGCTTCCCCGAGGCATGGTGGCGGCGGCGGGACCCGGGCGACCTTAGAGACGGCGGCAGCGGTTCTGTCGCGGGGACAAATGCCGCAGCGCTTGTCACAGCCGGCGCAAAAAAGGCAGGGCCCCGGGCGGGGCCTCAGGGACACGCCCCCAGGGGGAGGTGGCACTGCCCTCCAAGCCTGTCCCCCTTCACCCGTCCTCTGGACCTCTGCCTTCCAGCAGCTCCGGGTCTTGGCTGGAAATGGGACCTTGCTCCCTCCCTATGCTTGGCAGGCTGTGCGGGTTCTGGGGACACGGGCCTGCGTGGCAAAACGCCGAGGGCTTAAGGAGGGGGACAGTTCCTTCTGTTAGGAGCACCGCAGAGGGCAGGGAGCGGAGTTGGGGGTTGTTGCGAGCCCTGTAGGGGAGAGGAGACGGGGAGGCGACGGGCTGGGGCCAACCGGGAAGGGGACGCGAGGTTCCAGGCCTGACTCTGCTCTTTGCCCCCTTCCGGGCTCGGCTGTCTGCCCCCTCCCACCAGACAGGGTCTGCTGACCACCGCGTGGCCTCGGGGTCTCGGGTGGCCTAGGGCGGTGAAGCGCGACCCTGGGGAAGGCTTAGAGCAACCCATCCCCAGAACTCCCACGAGGGGGCGTCCCAACCCGTCTTCGACTGCCTGGGCCAAAATGCGCTGCCAACGCCGGCAGCCTTAGGCAGCGCCCGCGGGGGATGAGATGAGGCCCCCAGCGCGGTCCTCAACCCCACCGGATTCCCTGGGCCGGCCCCGCCACCTAGTCCCCGGCTCCGCGGGTGCAGTCTCCGACACTGACGGCCTTTACGCGACATCCAGGCAGCGTGTCTATCCCAAAGGCCTAGGAGCATTTGCCCAGCTCAGTCAAATCTAGCGCAAGTTGAAGCCTGTAGCCTCGCAATTTTAGCAGCTTGGTTCCAGGCCAGGTGAGCTGGAGCGCGGATTTAGAACGTTTTCCTGCTCTTCGGGAACGTGAGGTTTATTTATTTATTTATTTATGACATGGAGCCTTGCTCTGTCGCCCAGGCTAGAGTACAGTGGCGATCTCGGCTCACTGTATCCTCTGCCTCCCAGAATCAAGCAATTCTCCTGTCTCAGCCTCCTGAGTAGGTGGGACTACAGGCTCATGCCACCACACCTGGCTATTTTTGTATTTTTAGTAGAGACGGGGTTTCACCATGTTGGCCAAGCTGGTCTGGAACTCCTGACCTCGTGATTCGCCCGCCTCAGCCTCCCAAAGTGCTGGGATTACAGGCATGAGCCATCGCGCCCGGCTGAACTTGAGGTTTTTATGGTCTTTTCTGGGTGACTTTGCCGTGGTTGTTATTATTACTCCTCGGTGGGGGAAGGCAGGGACTGTCCCTCATCACTGTTTGCTGTGCCCACAGAGGACTCCTGGCACCGGGATTGTGGGCAGGGTGCAACACCAAGAACAAAAGCACCCAGAATTAGGGGTGTGGGTCACCAAGTAAGAGAGGGGGCCCCTCTGTAAGGAAGCAGGAGGTCGAGGGGCGAGGGGAGCGGTGGCTGGGGCGTTTGGCCTTGCCTGGCCTGCTCAGTTCTGTGTGTGCACAGTTGTCCCCAGCCATGCATGCTCTCCGTGGAAGTCAGGTGCAGCCCTGTGTTCTCACACACTGCAGTCCTTTCAGCCAGCCTGTGAACAGGGCCCTTTCTCACCCCGTCTTCAGTTTCTCCTCTCTGAAGGGGGGTGACCACCCACTTTGAGGGTGGCCTCCCAGTGAGGTGAGCACACAAAGGGTGGGCCATTCTTTCCTGGCAGACTCACCAGGCCTGGTCCAGCCGCTACTCCCTTGCTCATGCAGTCCCTGCCACCTGGTTCCTGTTTGTCAAACCAAAGAAACTGCACACTTCTCATGGTGGTCCCCTGGGCCTAAACTGTAGAGTTGTTCCTTCAGCTCCCATGGCTGATGGACTGCAGGTTCCACAAGGCATGGCCTTGCACCTCGGAGGCACCCAAGACAACTTAAGTGGGTTACACAAATGAAAATGAGGCTAAAAGGATAACATCGAAGCAGGCATTGAAATGCCTGCTTTTTTTTTTTTTTTGAGACGGAGTCTTGCTCTGTCCCTCAAGCTGGAGTGCTGTGGTGCGATCTCCACTCACTGCAACTTCTGCCTCCTGGGTTCAAGCGATTCTCCTGCTTCAGCCTCCCAAGTAGCTGGGACCACAGGCGCACGCCACCATGCCCGGCTAATTTTTTGTTTTGTTGTTGTTTTGTTTTGTTTTGTTTTGTTTGAGACGGAGTCTCATTCTGTTGCCAGGCTGGAGTGCAGTGGTGTGATCTCGGCTCACTGCAACCTCCACCTCCCAGGTTCAAGTGATTCTCCTGCCTCAGCCTCCCAAGTAGCTGGAACTACAGGTGAATGCCACCACGCCCAGCTAATTTTTTTGTATTTTTAGTAGAGATGGGGTTTCACCATGTTGACTAGGATGGTCTCGATTTCTTGACCTCATAATCCACCTGCTTCAGCCTCCCAAAGTGCTGGGATTACAGGCGTGAGCCACCACGCCCGGCCTGAAATGCCTACTTTTTTAAAATAAAGCACTTTAGCGGGGAACAGTGGCTCATGTCTATATCCCAGAACTTTGTGAGGCCCAGGCAGGCAGATTGCTTGAGTCCAGGAGTTCAAGACCAGCCTGGCCAACATGGTGAAACCCTGTCTCTACAAAAAATACAAAAATTAGCAGGGCATAGTGATGCACACCTGTAGTCCCAACTACTTGGGAGGCTGAGGCAGGAGGATCGTTTGAGCCTGGAAGGTAGAGGTTTCAGTGAGCCAAGATCACACCATTGAGCAAGACCCTGTCTCAAAACAATAAAAATAAATAAAAGTGAATGACTTTAAAGAAAAGATTGCCTGCCAGGTGTGGTGGCTCATACCTGTAATCCCAGCACTTTGGGAGGCTGAGGCGTGTGGATCACCTGAGGTCAGGAGTTCAAGACCAGCCTGGCC